GTTCTGTCATAAAATTCATCCTTGGCAGACAAGTGGTCACTAGATGAGTGTGTGAGTGAAAGACTGAGCCAGTTGTCATAAAGCAATCAAAACTGAGACACATTATCCGATACCGTCCAACAAATATCATATGCATTCATGCATTACTGCACGCGCAGAGACACCCAGAAGAGGAGGCCTGTATGGGTTTAAAACCCAGGATGTACGAAATATGGACAAAATGGCCGAAAATGTCTCTTTACAAATGGTTTGGACACAGTGGACCTATTGTTATAGAGCGTCCAGACTTGAGAAACATGTACTGGAACCATCCAACCAGATATGGCCAAAATATCATACGTATTCATGCATTACAGCACGTGCAGAGACACCACATTAGGGGGCCTGCTTGGGGTTGAAAGACAGAATGCACGAAATATGGACAAAATGGTCGAAAATGTCTCTTTAGATGATTTGGAGAGTACGGCCTGTACAACCCCAATATGTAAAATCAAGACAATATGTAAAAACTAACGCAATATGTAAAATATTAACGCAATATGTAAAATATTAACGCAATATGTAAAATCTGTACAACCCCAATATGTAAAACCAAGACAATATGTAAAAACTGTACAACCCTCAATATGTAAAATCAAGACAATATGTAAAATCTGTACAACCCCAATATGTAAAATCAAGACAATATGTAAAAAATTAACGCGATATGTAACAACTTAACGCAAAACGTAAATATTAACGCAATATGTAAAATATTAACGCAATATGTAAAAGATGTCTTTAACGCAAAAAGTACAACACCTAACGCAAAATGTAAAACAATTTTTAACGTAATATGTAAAAAATTAACGCAATATGTAAGGTTTGAATATTAGGGGTGGCGATGGAAATCCATTTTTGTCACAAATTTGGCAAAAATTGACTTTATTTACAAAAACTAAGATATCGCAATGTTTCTTACAAAATAAACTTCATATTACATTTTTTTACAAAATTTTACCTCATTCAGTATACATGTAAGCAGAGTCGATAAACAATAATTTCCTTGTATATAGATATATTTTAATCAATCTTATAGTCTATTTTCGAAAGTTTTAAAGGAATAATTTTATTCTTCAAACTTGTTTTCATAAATTGTATTTTGGGTTATATTCATTATGTCTTATTCAAGAAGGTTTGACCTTTCCTTCAAACTGTCCATTCCGTTGTTGATAATCTGTGATTACCGAATTGGGTTTTTAAAGAAAACCACTTATTGATCCTTCTTAATTTGGTTTGAAATAACATGCATGTTGTAGCAATGTTTCCAATTTTAATTCATTGTGTATGGGGGGTGGAATTAATTGCAATTGGTACTTGGCATCGAGATGGTAGCTCTGACCATTGGACTTCGGCCAAGCAACTGATCTAGTTAGAGAGCGCCAATAGTTATGATTTGACTGTGGACATGAAACAACGATGGGCGGTTAAAGGGAATACTGGAATAGTTCCTAGATACGTGCATCTTGAACCGCCATAGCTTCAAGTAAACCAACTGAGAATATGAAAGAAGCTATTCTCTCTCTCTCAAATCACTTGTGTCACTGTTCCGTTTACATCAAAGACTCTGACCTCTATCATTGGAGTAGAGAACCATATGTCCCGTGAGTGAGTGAGTGAGTGAGTGAGTGAATGAGTTAATAAGGTCAAACACCCCTTCCGCATTTTTTTCAGATATTGAAGACGTTAATTACACTGAGATAAACAATAGAATAACTGGTTCCATTTATACTAATGTTTGATACTACGTCAAATAATCACAGGAATGTCACAAAATACACAGTGAATAGCAATCTATGTGATTAAATGGTGAATTACGATAATAATTTCTTAGGCGTGGTTTGTGATTTTGCAATTCTATACATGTATCATTGATCTTGGCTTTGGCATGTTTGATGGATTCAGTTTTCTGAAACCTAAAACAACAAGTCATGTTACCCATTTACATCAATATTCCATATTACTTAAATTGCATCAAATACAATAACTTTATTTCATTAAATTTGAGCGATCAACATCGGGATCCAATCTCAAATGTCTCTGGTATTACTCGATTTCATTGGCAGCAATATTACCTGTGACTTGATTGAAGGAAATCAGATGTGATTGGAATGCAAATACCCGAATCACTGCGATGCATCTTGCATGTCCATTATACCTAAAACTGCAAGATGGATTTACCATTTCTAAATCAAAGATATTTGTGTCCAGCGACACATTTATACTTAAACAGTAATTTTCACATTTTGGAGTAATATAATATTTGTAAATACATCATCATAAATATGATATTTTCTCTAAAATTCATTCAAAGTGTTTCTGAACAAATTCCCAAGTCTCTCGTAATTTCTATGGGATGGCTCAACTTTTTATCAGGATTTGTTGCATTTCATTTGTGAATTTTGAGGTGAGATTATAAAAAACACTGCCAGGAAATAACTAATACATTAATTCCATAAAGGAAAATGTTTTGCTATTAATTCACCACTAATAGGATAAATTTGAACACAAAACTGGTCTCTCAGCAAAAACAATGAACAGAATTGCAAGTTGAACCTTGGTTACCGTACCCAATGCGGAGGGTAATTTTATGTCCCCAACTTTGCGCTACATGCGCGTTGTGGGATAAAAAAAGGCCAAAAGGTAAAACCTCCTAGGACATAATGAATACAACCCATATGACCATTTATGTAAAAATATACTATGATGAATAACATGATTTCCTTGGAAACTGTCGAATATACATTATGATATCAAGTATCGCTATACATGTATATTACACAATTATCGGCTTTACTTTGATGTTAAACGACCCAAAAGATCAGATATCAATTAAGTCAGACATGAGGTTAATTTTGTCAGAAATATTGCAATAGCTTAGGTATTTTGAAACACAATAAAGTAAAGTTTCTGAAAAAATAAATTCCAGTCGCCAAAACAATAAACAACAATAAAGCTGCATTTTACAGATTCCGTTAATCTTTTACAAATTGCGTTAGGTGTTTACATATTGCGTTAAAGATATTTTTTACATTTGGCGTTAATCTTTTACATATTTCGTTATATTTTACATTTTGCGTTAAGTTTTTACATATTGCGTTAGTTTTTACATATTGTCTTGATTTTACATATTTGGGTTATGTGCTTGTCGTAAAAGGCGACTAACGCGTCTGGCTCCCTGACTTGGTTGACACATGTTATCGTATCCCAATTACGTTGATCAATGCTCATGATGTTGATCACTGGATTCTCTGATCCAGACTCGATTACTTACATACCGCCACCATATAGCTGAGATATTGCTGAGTGCGGCGTAAACCAACAAACTTTTATATCCAACCCACTCACTCACACGTCTCCTATTCCTTGGGATTAGAGAAATAATTCGACTTAACCCGGGTTCGATATATACAATTCCAATAATAACGTGGCACTTCTATCAATGTAATTGAAAGCACAAACCATGCCTATCCCTTTGCAGCATTCAAATTAACAAAGACATCAAACAATTCAGTTTTTAATCAGCACTGAGCATACATGTTAACAATAACACAATACATGTTAACAATAACACAATACATGTTCGTGAGTGAGTTTAGTTTTACGCCGCCTTAAGCAATATTCCAGTAATATCACGGCGGGGGGACACCAGAAATGGGCTTCACACATTGTACCCATGTCGGGAATCGAACCCGGGTCTTCGGCGTGACGAGCCAACGCTTTAACCACTAGGCTACCCCACCGCCCCCAATCACAAAGGAAAGATCTGTAGTATACATGTATATTGTATCTTCCATTGGACATGTCACTTATTTGATTGATTGGTACCAGAAAATAGTAGCCAACCCAGTATTCTGAAGCAAATTGTGGTAATATTTATTACTGTTACTGTAGAAGATGATATCATCGAGATTGTCCGACCTACTGCCGAAGAAGAAACAACAATCAACACTGAAGATGACCAGACAACCGAGCCAATCATTCCCAAGCTACCTGAGGTCAAAAGTTTGTTGAACAGTTTACAGACATTTGTGACACACAACTTAGACGTGTTTGATGTGAGTGACCTGGACTTCATCGACACGTTGAAAACTAAAATGCAGAAGACCTCAGAAAAAAATGAACAACAAAAAACCCTCAAAGACTATTTCAAGTTTTAAATTATTGTTCACGAGACATCCATATGTTACTGTGGAACTAGTTGTATGCAAACAGTGACTCATTCAACATCCGGGTCATAATGGCTGCTGAGAGTGAACTAGCGACGACTGGTAAAAACAAACGTGAGTTTTGTACCAATGTGATTTTGAAATCGATACGAAACTGATTGATTATGTGAATTTATATGTACATGTATGTTATGCCATCTATGATTGTTAATAAATGATATCAAGGATGTATTGTTATATTTTTTATTACTGAATGTTTTTACAAACGAAGACGATAACCAGATCTACAATTTCTGATATTTTCCGACATTTTCGTTAATCCGACATTTTCGTTAATCCGACATATTTCTCTGCAACCACAAGTGTCGGATTAACGAGAGTTGACTGTACATGCTAAATGATGATGGTGTTCTGACAAACAAAGCCCGGGCTACCTGGGAACCACAGGATGCAGAAATGCCACCCCCAAATTGGTGCAATTAGGAATCTGAGCTCCCTAAGATAGAAAAAATAGGAAGTTTCGCAACAAATTAGGGATCCCTATAAATTGTTGCACTCAAGGAACGAAACTTTTCAATGGCATTACACATAGCGATCCTTATACAACAGAAACCGGTTTGCAGTACTCGGCAGCAGTGTTTGTGAATAAAATAAACAGTGCGTGGAATTTACCAGGCTGCCTACTCAACTTCGGATTACTTTTTAAATATAGTGTTATATTTATTTAATTATCATTATTTATAGTCAAAGTTGATCCTAGGCCTTTATCCATATCTGTCTTATATTTTGAACAAAATCGAAATGGATTTGGCTTTGTCGGAATGACGGAATCCACATGCAATTTTCGGGATGATTCCGATAAATTCGGGAGGGTTGACATCTCTGCAGGATGGTTTTTGCAAGCCAAGATGATTTGCCAAAAAAGCACTTAGCGTGTGACATTTCTTGGCATAGGTCATTTGATATGTACTTCAAGACAGTTCTGATAGTGTTCTCAGGTCATGTCTAAGTGAAATAACCTCAACTATGGACAACCCGGGAGCAATGAAAATACAGATACGGCCCAAAACCTGTTTGCCTGAAAATCCCGAGATCTGTTAATACTCACATAAGGTTGATGTTCACGTAATGAATCTCATAGCAAAGTGTCCTCACGACAGGAAAGAAATTATTGGTAAACCCACAGTGATGATTTTTGTGGACATAAAATTTCCTGAAACCTGCATCATGGACGTCTTTCAATATTTTCAGTCTGTTGATGCAGTCATTCCTTTCGCTGCAAGTTCCGTGATATTCCACGAGAAACTGTCTGACTTTGGACAGTTCGCCTGATGACACCATGTTGGGGATTGAAGGCCATTCTGAACTTTCCACATCCATCTTCAAGACATCAATGACTCTCTGGAAAACAAAAGGAATTAGTTTACCGGATGAGAGTGAGAGAGAGAGTGAGAGAGACAGAGAGAGAGAGAGAGAGAGAGAGAGAGAGAGAGAGAGAGAGAGAGAGACAGAGAGAGAGAGAGAGAGACAGAGAGACAGAGAGGGGGAGAGACAGAGAGAGGAGAGAGAGAGAGAGAGAGAGAGAGAGAGAGAGAGAGAGAGAGAGAGAGAGAGAGAGAGAGAGAGAGAGAGAGAGAGAGAGAGAGAGAGAGAGAGAGAGAGAGAGAGAGAGAGAGAGAGTTTCAATAGTGATGTGTGCAGTGTGTTTTAAACAACAAACAGATCATACGTTGAGGGTCAAAGAGTCTGATTTCCTGGAAGCAAACATCGGGAAAACCAGGATATTCACGGGAGCAGTGACATGACTAACAATTACTATAAATGGGGCCACGAAGGCATTCACGGGAGCAGTGACATGTCAAAATATGTAAAATGTAAAATGTCAATATATTTTTGTGTCACTTACCCCTGTGTGGTTCAACATTTTCTTCATACTCGTCAGTGTACGCATGTCCCAAGCTGCCTTTTTGTAGTCTCTTCCATCGATGCCTATCCTAAAAAAACGGACACGTGGCGACCTCTGGTAACTGGCCTGGTTCATACTGAAATATGATTATTATCACTATCGTCATTACTAGTATTATAGACAGGCAGTCTTCCTACATAAATGCCAAGGAGAAAATGAGTGAGTGAGTGAGTTTAGTTTTACGTCGCACTCAGCAATATTATAGCTATATGGCGGCGGTCAGTAAATATTCGAGTCTGGACCACACAATCCAGTGATCAACAGCATCAGCATCGATCTACGCAATTGGATACGATGACATGTGTCAACCAAGTCAGGGAGCCTGACCACCCGATCCCGTTAGTCGCCTTTGTCGACAAGCACGGGTTACTGAAGATCAGTTTTAACCCGGATCTTCACGGGGAGGAGACAAGCATGGGTTACTGAAGGTCAGTTCTAACCCGGATCTTCACGGGTCGGCAATCTTGGAACTTTACATGGCAATTATCTTTACCTGCTGACTTTTCCCGCACACCTCCAATCATGATCAATACGAAAACGAATACGATCTATGAGCGCACGCACGCACGCACGCACACACACACACACCGTGATATTGCTTGAATATTGACAAAAGCGGCATAGAAGTAAACTAAACTGAGTTTCATTTCACGGAAACGGAAGCCCTTTACTAAGACACTTGTTTGTGTAACATGTCAGGTCTTTGATGTTGCTGATGTTCTCTACAAGCATTTTCTGACGCAAACTAAAAATTCGCAGAAAATCAAAACTGTAGGACATGTGTACACATATTTTCCAAAATTGACTCTCAAATGTCTTAAAACTGTTTCATAGATTCGGTGGTCGAATCAAAAATATAAATAACTGCAAAACAAGATTCTATCGAAGATGGGATTGGAAATTGTCGCACAGCCCTAGCACAGCTGATATGCACAGGCGAAGGGTTATCATTCATTCAGAAATAGTCTGTTTATTCCGTATGGTTTACGGTTCGAACCCAATAGATGCTATTTGTCAGAGGCGATTTGGGTATTGGATGGGTAAGCTCGATGACTCTGGCATGGACTATGGGCAAAAATGTCCAAATTCCAGGATGTCTTAAGTATCAACATCTGCCAGATTCCACACTCCAGGGTGTCAAGACTCCAGGGTGTCCAGACTCCAGACTCCAGGATGTTTAAATTATACTATTCACACTTTACTACGGATCAAGTCATGCATTCAACAGAAAACTATTATGTGGGGTCAAATTTGGTTTAATGCCTGTAAACATATATCCTAGGTTTCTCAGTATGTCACTGCATCTTGTGGATCCTATACCTGCTATTGACATGTGTTGTTTATTTGTCAATGACTCATTCCATGATTTCCAAAATGGTTGATTGGTGCCACGAAAACCATTTTCATGGTTACTCATGTATCAAGTACATAAGGTTAGATTAAAGTGACTATTTTGCCTAATGAGGGATTACCATATTATTATTTATCTACTTTTAAATGGATTCAATTTCAAATTATAAGCTACATTTAAGTAAAGTTGTGAATTTTTGTGATCCTTAGCAAAGTGTGAGTAGTATATTAACATCTGCCTGATAACAAACATATTGTTGATATGCGTCCGAACAAATAAACAACCAACCAACCTGCACAAACGTATATACAAACCTTGGATCAAAGGCAAAAACATTGCACTCATAATTTTTGGCCGTGTCATCGTCAAAGGAAAAATCGTTGTTGATTCTGTGGAATAAAAGGCATTACATATGAAAGTGTGTTATGACAAAACCAATTAGGAACAAGAGTGAGTGAGTGAGTGAGTTTAGTTTTACTCTGCACTCAGCAATATTCCAGCAATATGGCGGCTTGGGAACAAGAAGATGGGAGTATACATATATATTGTATATTGTTTTCATGTTTCATTTGAGGCGAATCTGCAGACATTGATGTACAATAATGGATAGAATTGAGAAACTATCCTAAAGTGCGATGAAAACTTTTCCATCTGTGTATTTATGTTTTATTGACAGAAACCCTGCGCAGAGCTAGCGATTGTCAAATGTATAGAGATATAGTTGCTCATGAATTGCCGTGCATCTCACTGTCCAAGCTACGGTTGCATGGTTATACACTCTTCAAAAAAGAAACGCATAGGCGTTTCCAGTAGTTCATTTCGATATATGTTGATAGAAATCGTCATTAATACAATTCCTATGTTTGAATCCCGTTAATCATGTCGTGGTTGTTGCGTACAGCATCCCAAACTGTGTTTGTAAACGTTTGTCAAAAAAAATGAAAACGATATATGAAAAGTGCATGCAGAAAAAGTTTTCCACGTAATGCACGTGAATGTGTCGGGCACATGATTTGAGACATCGACTATAAAAGGCCAAACCAAATCCATCATTTCACTACGAAATTTACGAAGTAAAATGCCAAGATTGAATGCTACTGATTGAAATATCGACATTGGACGTTTGGAACCAGGGGAGTCTCAATCTGCCGTTTCACGACACTTCAACGTCCACCACAGCACCATATATCGATTATGACATCGATATACCCGTCCCAAAAGTGGAAGACCAACAGTGACCACTCCTGCTCGTCAGCGATTTGCTACATCAAGGGACACCGCAGGACTGGTGCCTGGTCTTCGAAGAAGTCCCGATCATACCATCAGAAAGCGTCTGAGAGAAATGGGAATTCGAGCATATCGAGCAAAAGTTGGACCTGTCCTGACAAGACTACACTGCAACGACGTGCCTAATGGTGCAACAGGGTATAGGCATGGAACCTATGGAACGCGTTTGGTTCAGCGATGAATTGCGTTATCTCCTTCAACGACAGGATGGGAGACGTGTCTATCGACGTCAACACGAACGTTTTGCACGGAACTGCGTTCGACAGGTGGACCGATTTGGTGGAGAAAGTGTATTGGTGTGGGGAGCCATGTTCTACACGTGTAGATCAGAGGTAGTGGTGGTTCAAGGCAATCTTACAGCAAATCGCTACATCGACCAAATCCTGCCACCTCACCTCCTCCACTTTTTAACCGCCAGAGGGGGCTGTTTCAACACGACAACGCTCGACCCCATACAGTTCCTGTAACAGGTGCCTGTCTCGCCAATGCAAAAGCCAATGGCCTTCCATGGCCTTCCAAATCGCTTGATCTGAATCCGATCGAGCATCTATAGGACGAACTTGATCGACGCATCCGTAAGCGTCACCATCATTTTTAGACACTTGCAGAACTTGCAAACTTGTAGGAGGAAAGGCGAAGAATTCTCCAAGCAATATTCCGACGGACGACTTTTGCAATCCCTTCCATGGCGGCGTTCAGCAGTGAAAGCTGCAAGGGGTGGTGTCACCATGTACTGACCTGAACAACCCCTTGTGTCCACACATGTGCAGTGAGTGAACCGAATTAATGCTGACAATGACAACAATACATAATAACTTATGTTCATCCGTGTGTCGAATTTCCTTCATCTATGTTCAAGCTTAATCGACTTATATACACTTAAATACGTTTCCTTATTTTTGGCCTATGCATTTCTTTTTTTGAAGAGTGTAACATTGTGCAAAAATATATATAAAGTGCATGAATTGCTTGCAATAAGTTTACACAAATTGCAGAATAAGCTCCTTTGTTCACAATGAGAGAAAGAGAAGAGTCTAATCAGGCGATATACAAATATGTATTTGGCAGCGACGTTATGCCGAGTCATCACCGCACCAGGATGTGGCGCAACACCACGTGGCTACGGAGTTAAAGATATGACCCCACTTGTGCAAAGCGATCTTACCGATAAGTGAGGAGTGAGTGAGTGAGCGAATTTAATTTGACGCCGCTTTTAGCAATATTCCAGCAATATCACGACAGGGGGACACCAGAATGGGCTTCATACAGTGTACCCATGTGGGGAATCGAACCCGGGTCTTCGGCGTCACGAACGAGCGCTTTAACCACAAGGCTACCCATCTCCCCTCCTAACGCTAACTCCCATACTCTAACATGCACTTCAGATGGTACACGACTTGTGAGAATATGTTCAAAGGGGTTGCGCTGGGAGAACATATATGTTCGTTTTATATTTTGAAACCTTACTTTTTTTCGATTTTAAGATACCCGTGAAGGTCCGGGTTAGAATATTGATCTTCAGTAACCCATGCTTGTCGTAAGAGGCGACTAACGGGATTGGGTGGTCTGGCCCGCTGACTTGGTTGACACATGTCATCGATTCCCATGTCATCGTTTCCCAATTGCGTAGATCGATGCTCCTGCTCGATTATATACAGACCGCCGCCATATAGCTGGATTGTTGCTGAGTGCGGCGTGAAACATACCTCACTTACTCACTCATTTTCTCCTTGGCATTTATAAAGGTGTCTCAATATCATTCTCTTTCTTGGACTAATACTATTCCAATTAATTGACTACTCACCCAAACGAGTACACGATACAATTCTTTACTGGGCGGTAACCAGGGTCGTCACAGATCTCCCAGCCTCCATCCCCCAGTTTACCCATGCGTAGCTTCCGGTTGCACAACGTATCTGTGTTGTCAAGGTAACTGAACAGCAAAAAAATAAATAAATAAAATTAATTAATCATTTAATAATTGTGTATAGTGTATCATATCACGATTTTTTATGGGCATGTTTCCCATAGGGATTTGAACAATCTAACAGATCTCGTAAGAGACAACCAATTGGCAAGACGATTGACATGAATGACGGCGTGGTTTATCTGGTCAAGAAATTTGCATTCCACCGTCATGTATATTGAAACATTGCAGACAAATGTTGCAAAATAAATGTGTACATAGTGAACTCTAAAACAGCTAATCGAACTGTTTTCGAACTCCGGGCACTGCATGCGTCATATTATGACATCATACGATTGTTAGCGATACCGCTTCTCGGTGGAGAGTTTGGCGGTTACCGTGGCAGCAGGTAATATTTTTTCCTGTTGTCACCCTCCTGGAAGGGGTGATATAGGAACTTGTTAAAGCGTCATTGACCAATGAAATTGAAGTATTTTACATGAAGGTAAGAAAATAGGTCCAGGACGTAACGACACAATATACAGTGGTGGGCGAGCTGTCTTAGGCGACAGGCTAGTGATCCAGCGAGCTCGAGGTGCCGGGATCGAGCCCACCTGTGACGGGTGTAAAAACCTTGGTATGCAGACTCTTTCATTGTTGTCACAACCCCTAGAGTACAATACACAACCCTGTGCACTTAAAAGAGCCCACGAATCCGTTGGTAAGTATAGGTTACTCACCCTTACAAGATACTTATTTAAATAAATTCTGCGAGGGCTTTAGTCCCGTACAGAGTTTATTTAAGTAACTACCATAGTGAGGGTGATTAAACGGCTTACACCACGAGGGCAGACTTATTTAATACGCGTGTAATGTATTAGGCATGATGAAGATTATCAAAATGAGTACGATTTTATTGTTTTTAAATAGAAATAATTGCCCGAGGGCAGTTATTCAGTTATGCTAATAAAACACTTCCAAGAACAATGGACAAAAAATGAATACGTGCAAACACCTAGTTGCGGGTACAGCAACGTGCAGTAAACTTGGACAAAGTACTGTGACTATGTGTCCCAGTCCACCCAGCTGCGAATGGGTACCTCGTTAGGGTGGGAAATACATTGATAATACCAGATAAGCGTATCCTGCCACAGAGGCAATCTAATGCATGCAATTGCAACTCAACTGCTATTCTTCTTTGAGAACCATTTGAGGCTCAGAATTTCTCTCGCTCATGATTATTCGATTGGGGGGTCTGTTTATGTTATATTATTCCACCAAGACGTATGACAGGATATGGCAGTGATTTGGTTCAGGGGGCTCATTGAAATTATATGCAGAATAAAACTGATACCAAACACATTATAGATGGAAATACACGGAGTGATCAAGATTGAGTTCATACGCAACGGGGGACGGTTGGGTAGCACAGTGGTTAATGCGTTCGCTCGTGACGCCTAAGGCCCCGGTTCGATTCCCCACATGGGTACAATGTGTGAAGCCCATTTCTGGTGTCTCCGCCGTGATAGTGCTGGAATACTGCTAAAAGCGGCGTAAAACTACACTCACTCATTCTACCACAACAACAACTACTACTACTACTACCACTACTACTACTACTATAATCACTACTACTACTATTACTACTACTACTACTATAATCGCCTTTGTAAACCATTCTCTTTGATTATATATATTATCGTATGTTAGTTCTGACAGCGTGAAGGAGGAAGTACCTTGAAGATATACTACCAGCCCCGTAACCTTTGGTGCCTTTAAGTAGAATGATTTTATGAGTACTTATATTGACAAATATCTGAGCCTATGAGTGAGTGAGTTGGGTCTTCAGCGTGAACAGCGAACGCTTTAACATTTAGGCAACCACACCCCCCACCGCCACCACCTAACCCCCCACCCCCACCTCCGTATGTGGTCTAAACATATTTTATTCCATTCAAGTAGAAAGAAAAGGATTGGCAAACAAGCCTCATTGGCTTATATTAGTGCCGCTCCACAATATATGTGAAGGTTCACATTTATGCGTAATGTTGTACATATTTATAACAGTCATAACACGTTATCTCTGAATAATAACAATATTGGATATCAATAATTTATCTTGCTTTTGTTTCGTGGCCAGTTGATACAAATAGGAAGAAAAAAGGGAAAATACAAAAACTTTTATGAATCAAATCCTTTTGATGTAATAATGAATTGATGGACTGACCGGGGCGGTGGGGTAGCCTAGTGGTCAAAGCGTTGGCTCGTCACGCCGAAGACCCGGGTTCGAATACCCACATGGGTACAATGTGTGAAGCCCATTTCTGGTGATGTTGCTGGAATATTGCTAAAAGCGGCGTAAAACCGAACTCAGTCAGTCAGTCAGTGATGGACTGACCGCAGACTATCCATATAGTTATGGATCCGTAGTTATTACCATTTAGCACACCCCGAAGGGAGAAACCTTTTCCATAGAAATAAGATTCGTATGTAGTAGTAGTAGCTGTCGTAGTTGTCGCCGGCACTAAACTTTTGACCCAGACTGACCTACAATTACTCACCTGTGATACGTTCTGAACGCTTCACTGACGGTCATCTTCGCGATGCCATCCTTATCCGGTAGAACGATCTGCAACATGGAAATGAATGTAATACCGCACAACAACAAATACAGTGAGCTCCCTCTAAGTCGACATTGCTCGGACCGGTGAAAACTGTCGGTTTAGAGGGTTGTCGGATTAGAGGAGGTATTAGGCACTCAATCCAAAATTCAACCACACAGACAAAACTAAACAAACACAGTGAAATGAGGATCTCAATGTCAATGTCAATGTCAATGTCAGTGTCAGTGTCAATGTCAGTGTCAGTGTCAGTGTCAGTGTCAGTGCCAGTGCCAGTGTCAATGTCAGTGCCAGTGTCAGTGCCAGTGCCAATGTCAATGTCAGTGTCAATGTCAGTGCCAGTGCCAGTGTCAATGTCAATGTCAATGTCAGTGTCAGTGTCAATGTCAATGTCAGTGTCAGTGTCAATGTCAATGTCAGTGCCAGTGCCAGTGTCAGTGTCAGTGTCAGTGTCAATGTCAATGTCAATGTCAGTGTCAGTGTCAGTGTCAGTGTCAGTGTCAGTGTCAATGTCAGTGTCAGTGTCAGTGCCAGTGCCAGTGCCAGTGCCAATGTCAATGTCAATGTCAATGTCAATGTCAATGTCAGTGTCAATGTCAGTGTCAATGTCAGTGCCAGTGCCAGTGCCAGTGTCAATGTCAATGTCAGTGTCAGTGTCAGTGTGAATGTCAATGTCAGTGTCAGTGTCAGTGTGAATGTCAATGTCAGTGTCAGTGCCAGTGCCAGTGTCAGTGTCAATGTCAGTGTCAATGTCAGTGTCAGTGTCAATGTCAATGTCAGTGCCAATGTCAGTGCCAGTGTCAGTGCCAGTGCCAATGTCAATGTCAATGTCAATGTCAGTGTCAATGTCAATGTCAATGTCAGTGTCAGTGTCAATGTCAATGTCAGTGTCAGTGTCAGTGTCAGTGTCAGTGTCAATGTCAGTGTCAATGTCAGTGCCAGTGCCAGTGCCAGTGTCAATGTCAATGTCAATGTCAATGTCAGTGTCAGTGTCAGTGTCAGTGTGAATGTCAATGTCAGTGTCAGTGCCAGTGTCAATGTCAATGTCAATGTCAATGTCAGTATCAGTGCCAGTGTTAATGTCAATGTCAGTGTCAGTGTCAGTGTCAGTGTCAGTGTCAATGTCAGTGTCAGTATCAGTATCAGTGCCAGTGTCAGTGTCAGTGTCAGTGTCAATGTCAGTGTCAGTGTCAATGTCAATGTCAGTGACAATGTCAATGTCAGTGTCAATGTCAGTGTCAATGTCAATGTCAGTGTCAATGTCAGTGTCAATGTCAGTGCCAGTGCCAGTGTCAGTGTCAGTGTCAGTGTCAATGTCAATGTCAGTGTCAGTGTTAGTGTCAGTGTCAGTGTCAGTGTCAATGTCAATGTCAGTGTCAGTGTCAGTGTCAGTGTCAATGTCAATGTCAATGTCAATGTCAATGTCAATGTCAATGTCAATGTCAGTGTCAGTGTCAGTATCAGTATCAGTGTCAGTGTCAGTGCCAGTGTCAGTGTGTCAATGTCAATGTCAGTGTCAGTGCCAGTGCCAGTGCCAGTGTCAATGTCAATGTCAATGTCAGTGTCAATGTCAATGTCAATGTCAATGTCAATGTCAGTGCCAGTGCCAGTGCCAGTGTCAATGTCAATGTCAATGTCAATGTCAATGTCAGTGTCAGTGTCAATGTCAATGTCAATGTCAGTGTCAGTGCCAGTGTCAGTGTCAATGTCAGTGTCAGTGTCAGTGTCAGTGTCAATGTCAATGTCAGTCAATGTCAATGTCAATGTCAGTGCCAGTGTCAGTGCCAGTGCCAGTGCCAATGTCAATGTCAATGTCAGTGTCAATGTCAATGTCAATGTCAGTGTCAGTGTCAATGTCAATGTCAGTGTCAGTGCCAGTGTCAGTGTCAATGTCAGTGTCAATGTCAGTGCCAGTGCCAGTGCCAGTGTCAATGTCAATGTCAATGTCAGTGTCAGTGTCAGTGTGAATGTCAATGTCAGTGTCAGTGCCAGTGTCAATGTCAATGTCAATGTCAATGTCAGTATCAGTGCCAGTGTCAATGTCAATGTCAGTGTCAGTGTCAGTGTCAGTGTCAGTGTCAGTGTCAGTGTCAGTATCAGTGTCAGTGCCAGTGCCAGTGTCAATGTCAATGTCAGTGTCAATGTCAATGTCAGTGTCAATGTCAATGTCAGTGTCAATGTCAGTGTCAATGTCAATGTCAGTGTCAATGTCAGTGTCAATGTCAGTGCCAGTGCCAGTGTCAGTGTCAGTGTCAGTGAATGTCAATGTCAGTGTCAGTGTCAGTGTCAGTGCCAGTGTCAGTGTCAATGTCAATGTCAATGTCAATGTCAATGTCAGTATCAGTGCCAGTGTCAATGTCAATGTCAGTGTCAATGTCAATGTCAGTGTCAGTATCAGTGTCAGTGCCAGTGCCAGTGTCAGTGTCAATGTCAATGTCAGTGTCAATGTCAGTGTCAGTGTCAGTGCCAGTGCCAGTGTCAATGCCAGTGTCAATGTCAGTGTCAATGTCAATGTCAATGTCAATGTCAGTGTCAATGTCAATGTCAATGTCAATGTCAGTGTCAGTGCCAACGTCAGTGTCAATGTCAGTGTCAGTGTCAGTGTCAGTGGCAATGTCAGTGTCAGTGTAATGTCAATGTCAGTGTCAGTGCCAACGTCAGTGTCAGTGTCAATGTCAATGTCAGTGTAATGTCAATGTCAATGTCAACGTCAGTGTCAACGTCAGTGTCAGTGTCAGTGTCAACGTCAGTGTCAACGTCAGTGTCAGTGTCAATGTCAGTGTCAATGTCAGTGTCAATGTCAATGTCAGTGTAATGTCAATGTCAGTGTCAGTGTCAATGAATCATAACAAGCACTTAACAGGTGAATTCACCAATCTATGAATCCACTGAACAAATAATTAGCAAGTAATGGGGTTGAAGGATTGTCCCTTTGTGATTGCATAATAGTATTATAGTACATTACAGAAAACTGGAATTTTATTGCTTTAATTGTATTGTTTTAATGTCTGGCTAGCATTGTTTATAACTACCAGTGACTGAAGTGATGGTGTAAATCCTGCTGGAGATTCATGCGGGCAGCTGATGTACTGAAAGTCCCCGTGAACCCCAGTAAGGTGGCCTAGCTTTGATTGTTGGTTGTCCATGGCTGATATTTTAATGTTAATATATGTCATATCGAGTTGCATTTTTAGAACTGGAAATGATTATTTTTTAGACTTGCATTCTGTGATACGTTGCTAAAGCTTTACTGTCCTTCGTGACAGATATTTATCATATACTACCTTTGTTCCTGTCACTATATGGCTGACATATTGCCGGTGTGACGTTAAATTGTAACTCACTCACTCTCTCCTCGCCCAAGTGCGTTGAATTGCTAAATACACACTATGTGTTGGCTGATGTAATTACAATGTCGGTTTAGAAAGTGTCAATTTTCACTAAAAACATGTTTGGGGACCGGATTTGAGTGTCGGAATTCGAAATAGACAGACCGACGTCTGATTAGAGGGAGTTTCTTAAATGATATTATACAGGGACAACTTTGGGACCAAATAAACAATACGCTAACCAGGATTTAAACCCAGTATCACAGGTTCCTGGCACGTCCAAGGGAAGTTACTCAGGACCACCCTCAAAATGAAATGATGCAATGTGGAGATTCATACCTGTCCCTGCTGGCGAATTTGCTTGAGTGGTCCAGCATTGTTTGTTTCTGAACGAAGGACCCAAGATGGTGATCGGTTCTGAAAGAAAGAACGAGTTTATATGTTGAAATATATATTGGACAGAGATACATTTTATGTCACTATTTCTTGAGGATCTGGGCCACGATCCACAAAATGAGTGAGTTTGTTTTACGCAGTACTCAGAAATATTCCAGCTGTAAATAATCGAGTCTGGACCAAACAATCCAGTGATCAACAGCATGAACATCGATCTACGAAATTGGGATATGACGACATGTGTCAACCAAGTCAGCGAGCCTGACCGCCCGATTCCGTTAGTCGCCTCTTAACAAGCATGGGTTCTTCTCATCCGAATCCAAACAAATATTGGAACATACGAAACCCAAGCAGGTTCTAAAAACAATATCTCAAAGAATGACGCGAGTTACATTTTAAGGCAAATTACTGCGAAGAGGGTTAAAATCTGGTAACATAACACACAACGCAATACAAGATTCCTCATTTCCCATTATACTGTCACTAGTGAGTGAGTGAATTTAGTTTTACGCCTCGTTTAGCAATATTCCAGCAATATCACGGTGAGGGGCACCAGAAATGGGCTTCACACATTGTACCCATGTAGGAATAGAACCTGGGTCTTCGGTGTGACGAGCAAACGTTTTAACCACAAGGCTACCCCCACCGCATAAGTACTGTCAATAACTTGATCAAAGTCAATATGAAAAGCTCTGTGAATATAAAGAAGGCCTGGAGCTCCTTTCACAAAGCAACCTTTAGTAATGCTAACCTTAACTCCAATTCTTTAACACTGCACTAAGGGTACCTTAGTGACTTACGATCACCTTTGTGCTTTGTGAAAGGAGGCCCTGGTGGTTAGAGTCGACCAGTCACCATTGTTCACCTGAAATCGGTATTCACGTGTCGAATGCCACTGAATGATCACTCGGCAACAGGCATTATGACAAGTGTTTGGCATTAATGGGTACATCAAGGACTGGCTGGCTCGGAGTCAGTATAATGTGTCTGAGTTGGGTATTCATGCTTCACTGCGGCATGTTATCTCAGTAGGCTAGCACTATAAAACCAGCTTAAGTCTGGCCTAGTACAAGCAGCCGCACATACACATACACACGCATGCACGTCGTCATATGAGCGAAATATTCTCAAGCACGACGTTAAACCCAATTTCACCTCACCTCACCTCACCTGCAGGGGCGTCATGTTGACTTGCTTTTCATATACTGATATAAACGGGGACGGTGGGATTGCTCCGATAGTCGCCTACTACGACAAGCATGGGTTGCTGGAGACCACTTCTAACCCAGATGTTCACGGGTTGAGTAACAACAAGACCAATGATGAAATCAAACGATTTGAATAGAACATAGAGACATCATACTGTTCAAGGTCAGTCAGACGCTTGACTTTTTGAACGGCGTCAGCGTCTTTACTTTGAGGAATAGGATTCACCTGATGAAGGAGTAGAAATATACTCCGAAACGTCGTATTCCTCAAAGTAAAGAGTGAGTGAATGAGTTGGGTTTTACGCCGCACTCACAAATATTCCACCTATATGGCGGCGGTCTGTAAATAATCGAGTCTGGACCAGACAATCTAGTGATCAACAGCATGAGCATCGATCTGCGCAATTGGGAACCGATGACATGTGTCAACCAAGTCAGCGAGCATGACCACCCGATCCCGTTAGTCGCCTCTTACGACAAGCATGGGTTACTGAAGGCAAATATTCGAACCCGGACCTTCACGGGTCTCAAAGTAATGAGGTTTACTACATTATTACCGCTGTTAAGACATCACACGATGATGATGCTTTGAAAGTGGGCAAAGAATCTGAACAAAGTGATCTGTTGACAACCCATAATGTCCTTGGCTTCTGTGATTGGATATCTGGGTTCCGATCCACAAGGCATTCATAGAGCTACGCCATCCGTAAGCCTATGACAAACTATAGAGTTACGACAGATCTTAACATTACGAACGCTTTGTGGATTGGGACCCTGCTTTAGAAAAAAGCCAAAAAGCACTTTGAAGAATATGAGAATCCGAAGGCTATATTTGAAAAATTGACATGATCATTTTGACTGATTTGATGAAACAGCTATGAACTGGGACCAAATTCAAGCAATAACAATTACAATGAGCATAGAAAACCTCGAAGATGCTGATGTCGATAGATGGCTTGAACACCATTCAAGTGACCGCTCATATTTGAGTCATCATATCCTTGACCCCTATTGTAGTCTTTGATAATTCTCTGCCTTGTCTAATTCCGATAGAAACGACCGACAATATATAATTACCAGGCATTGTACTCGTGGCTTCTATGAACTCAAGAAAAAGATCCCATCAGTATACGTACTGTCTGCCCTTGTTTTAATATATATATATATACTATCAAAAAAACGCATAGGCGTTTTGAATTTTAAAAATCTAATAATTACTTATTGTGTTCAAACAATCGTCAAAATATGTAACAAAAGTGTTGATAACATGATTTTACACAATTGCACAAGTAAAAACTCAACTTTACCTGAAAATGTTGATTTTGATGAGATTACTTACAAGGATCAAAATGCATCGCCACAACGCAACAGAAATCACCTTCCTGTTGAGATTGTGCAGCAAAGAGCATGCACTGTCTGGCTATAAAAATCCAGATTACTTTTGGAAATCGTCATTCGTTTTGAAGGAGTTTCAAGGTCAAATCACTACGCCACGTCTTGATGCTTCGACACGGAACATCGCCATTGAAAGAATGCACGCTGGAGATATGGCTGAAATACTGCCGATGTGACTTTAAATTTTAACTCAGTGTAGTGTGTCTGAATATGGCCTTAGGACTGTGTACATTACATGTAAGAGGCGACTAACGGGATCGGGTGGTCAGGCTCGGTCACTTGGTGGACACATGTCATCGGCCTTTGTTCACCACTGAACCTTTCAATCCCTCGAAACAAGCACCTCACAAGATTTTCCAACAACGCAGGCCCCGTTGCGTAGAACGATGCTCATGGTGTTGATAACTGGATTGTCTGGTCCGGACTCTATTATTTACAGAGCGCAGCGTTAATATAAACTCACTCACTCAATTACCTGTTTTTGATGGGTCTTCCCCTTGGTGTGTTCAGTGAAGGTTTCAACTGGGCGGACGTTCTTTTCTGCATATCGAGGCTGTGATAGGGAGTGATTTGAAATTTTAATCTCCTTTCTTTCATACATACAAACATTCCAATTAGTTTAATTTCAATTTCGTACGTCAAAATACAAAAAAAAACGCCTATTCGAAACTGCCTATTATTAGTTTTAACTCCCACATCTCCAACTTGTTGAAGGGGTTAATGTAAAGTTTGAATGATTGTGAAGGGGTTAATGTAAAGTTTGAATGATTGTAAAGGGGTTAATGTAAAGTTTGAATGATTGTGAAGGGGTTATTGTAAAGTTTGAATGATTGTGAAGGGGTTAATGTAAAGTTTGAATGAATGTGAAGGGGCTATTGTAATATATAAATGATTGTAAAGGGGTTAATGTCAAGTTTTAATGATTGTGAAGGGGTTAATGTAAAGTTTGAATGATTGTAAAGGGGTTAATGTAAAGTTTGAATGATTGTAAAGGGGTTAATGTAAAGTTTGAATGATTGTGAAGGGGTTAATGTAAAGTTTGAATGAATGTGAAGGGGCTATTGTAATATATAAATGATTGTAAAGGGGTTAATGTCAAGTTTTAATGATTGTGAAGGGGTTAATGTAAAGTTTGAATGATTGTAAAGGGGTTAATGCAAAGTTTGAATGATTGTAAAGGGGTTAATGTAAAGTTTGAATGATTGTGAAGGGGTTAATGTAAAGTTTGAATGAATGTGAAGGGCTATTGTAATATATAAATGATTGTAAAGGGGTTAATGTAAAGTTTGAATGATTGTGAAGGGGTTAATGTAAAGTTTGAATGATTGTAAAGGGTTAATGCAAAGTTTGAATGATTGTAAAGGGTTAATGTAAAGTTTGAATGAAGGGGTTAGTGTAATATATGAATGAATGTGAAGGGGTTATTGTATAAATAAATGATTGTGAAGGGGTTAATGTAAAGTTTGAATGATTGTGAAGGGGTTAATGCAAAGTTTGAATGATTGTGAAGGGGTTAATGTAATAGTTTGAATGATTGTGAAGGGGTTATTGTAATATATGAATGATTGTGAAGGGGTTATTGTAATATATAAATGATTGTGAAGGGGTTAATGTAATATGTGAATGATTGTGAGTGGGTTTTGTTATGTCTAATTGATTGTAAAGGGGTTAATGTGATGTCTGAAGGATTGTGAAGCGGACAATAACTACTGAAGGGATTAATGTTCAAATCCCAAGTGATTGTGTCGCGGACAATGAACTACTGAAGGGATTATTCATTCACACAAGCCCAACATACTCATCTCCGCCGTGTGCGAAATACGCATTTTGTCAGAAAGCGCACGTTAAATCTCCAAATAATAATAATAATCATCATCATCATCCCGTTGTCCATGAGGTACACAGCCTTTGATGCCCACATAAGGTGACCAAGGTTTGAGGTGTTTAAAATGAAGATACATGACTACTATCAATGTTAAAGCATGATAGCAATCACATATGAACAGCTATAAATTTGTATGGCCGTTATTAAGAGTTGCCTGACGCTGCTTCCCTAAAAATAGATATGTAATTAGTTGTTAGGTAATGTTATGTGTAATCCAATATGGCTGCACTTCCTGTTTACCCCGTTGCTACAGAGGATGATGTCATTGATGACCTCAAAGATCACTACAAGCTGTAAAAGTGGTAATTATTCATTAAAACGGTTTAACAACGTTCCAGAAATATTATGTTACATGAAAAGCAATCCACATTTCATTCTACCATGACTTCAGTAAACACTGGATTGTGATTGGTTAATTCAGAGGTATATAATCGCGTTATACAGGTCTCTGATTTTCCGTGCGCAATCATACATGGTTTACGGTAATGCACTATTTTTGTCTACCCACCAACATGGCGGACACCAAACACCCTACCAATGCATCGATAAATTACGGCGGTTTTGCTGTCGGAAATTACACATGTCTTTAAAGATGGATTTAGCGATGACGGGCTCGACTCACTACTTGCGTAAATCACAGCAATAGGTGTTTATACATACAAAAGTACTTCGAAAGCATGGAAACAAATATTCAGTCGAACAAGATCAAAACATCGTCTGCTTTCCGAATAAAAATTCAGCAAAAACAAATATGTTTACGTTGATTCTATGTTATGTCAGAATAGATCCAGCAATAGACTGCTACATAATTTCCGTGTTAAATTTATTATCAGCTTTCGTCAACGATATCGTCACTGATCTTGATCCGGTAACGGAGGATGCATTAACATCGAACGCCGAAGAAATTTTAATGCCTTCCGTCCACATAAATCAACAGTTGGGTTATCAATTCAACAAAATGATATTTTGAAATTTGTACTGTTTCAAATTTAGCGGTAGTAAAACACAATTACAGAATCTGTTTAGCCCAACATATTTTTTTTCTAAAAGTATAATATCGTTGAAAAAGTTATTTAGCTTAGTCATGATCCCTCTTATCCATTACACTGTTTGATCTAAAGTAGTCTATTAAAGTATAATTAATTACCTTACCGTGTTTATGCCAGAGGTACACCCTCATGTCCTGATCCATCCTTTCGGAAATATCACCACATATCTGGCTCTTTGTCAACAGACTCGCGAACATGCCAGCGAATCCGATTCAATTTGAATTCACTACACTTTGAAGCCACTAGGTCACAAAACACTTTCCAAAATGTAGAAAATAATATCCGTAGAATCGAATTTGAGCACAAAGTACACACATGAGTGTGTAAGAGTCACCACAGCTGTCGCACGCAGACGTAGAGGTGCGTGAAATCGTCAAGTTGACAAGGTGCAAAATTCAACAGTATCTAAATTCGGTACAACACGGACATTTGGTTACAGCAAAAGCGCCTCTACTCTTAAATTTTGTACCAGTACCAGTAATTAGATATCAAAGACTATCTCAGTCATACAATCAGGTTAACCTTGCGCAAACTGTCAGAGGCTCTCCTGTCGCATTTTTCCAAATTTGCACGTAAATGTAAACAATGACTTCCGAGAAAAGGTCAAGGCCATGAGGTTGCTGCAATTATTCTGGTGGGGAAAGGGTCTACGGTGGAATTTTCAAATGTGAACCAAGCTTTTTAAACTTATTTGAAATATGTTTTCCAACTTATCAGTTAATGATTGGTGATTGATGCATTGAAAAACAAAACGTGATTTGTTATTACTGAATCTGGAGTTTGTTAGTCATTGACGGTTTGCCACCAATCACCCAGTTTCGGGCGATGCCACTTGAGATTGGAATGCCAGGCCGCTTCACGTATTGGCTCGTAACCAAAGAAAGAGCTCCACCTGAAATTGTTCATAAAATTGTCATGGTAGAATGGAGATATACCTACTGTGTTGGAAAATCAGAGGTATATAACGAAATTATAATAGCTCTAAATTGTTCATTTAAAACCTCACGCTCTAAATTGTTCATTTAAAACCTCACGCTACGCGTTCGGTTTTAAATGAAATTTGGAGCTATTATAATTTCGTTATATACCTCTGATTTTCCCACACAGTAGGTTTATCTCCTAATTCATTATTTTGATCCAAATGACATTATAAATTTCCCAACGTCAAGACATGTTTAGCACCAAAGGCTTCATGCACTGTCTAATTCTTTGAAAAACAACATGTAGAAATGTTCACACATTAATAGTTAATGTCTAACACTAAGATAATTATAACCAAATTGAATGATTTTTGTAATATATTTGCATATATAGACGCACCAAAACTATTAATCGAATGTAATAGATACTATTCACCTTCAACTTCTCACATATATTTTTTTCAAAGCAACATGTCTGGTAGTTCATAAACTTTTTAAAGGTGTCCTCCCATTACGCAGACAGCCAGTTCGCAGACACCTTAAAACAACAACATTTACGGTTCAGTGAACAGATTATCTACTACCTGTTACCTGCACATTATATTGGAATAGTCCAAATAAAAACACAGGAACAAACTGAAGCTATATTATTTATTTTGAAAGATGGATGAATTTGAACAGTCTATTTTCATAAACATGTCTAGTCTAACGGGAGTCGGCATCATCATATTGAAAACATTAGCTTCTCTATTAGAAATTGCGACACTGTTGTATCATATAAGAGCATTTCTATGAAAACAATACAAATAAAGACAAATGTGTGAATCTAAATATTATTCATAATAATGATCCAATCGAGAGAATAAAGAAGTTATATGTTTTGCACACAATATTAAGATATATGACGAGCACTGCACTTTCCCACACTCTCAACATTATCGATATATTGAGAATATTTTTTGAAAAATGACGCATCATGTCAATGTAAAGGCCATGGATGTGAGAAATGTTTTTCAGCTCGGCTTGCATTAAAAACACCTTCCTTGAATGTCCATTGTATACTACACAAAGACATAAACTGTTACAATCTCTTAAGAAAACATGCCTACAATTAACCAGTATTGCTAAAATTAGAACACTGATTGGTATTAATCGTATCTTACATGGCAAATGCAGCTGTCTCATTTACTACAAATCATCAATGTTTTCAAATATGTACATATCTATATCTCTCAACAAACTCTGTTCAGCCCGGCTTGGCCCGTTTCAAAACTCAATTAAGTTCTATCCATAGATGTACATATGCTATTATTCACATTATGTGCAGGGGCTTTTCTATCTATAAACACAATATAACCTCTCAGTGGACAGTGACCTTGTCAAACCTGTTTTTATATTCGATAGTAATTGATAGTAAAATCAATTTTGAGAAGAGATATCATTTATCATTTAATCACAACAAAGTTCTATTTACCCACAATCAAACTTCTCAGTAACGAGCCTGTTTCAGGCTCACCCTGCTCTACTCACAAGACAGTGGATTGTTCCATTATACCCGTAGGTGTTACCCTAATTAACCTTCTAGTTCAGTGTCTGCCAATTGGGTGTCTGTCAAATGGGAGATAAAGCATGATTCTGCCAATTCAAATTGGCTCACAGAAGCCATTCACATCAAACGCCACAAGCCTACCATCAACCGTGA